AAAAAAGTGCCCGTAAAATCAAATATCACTTCAGCCTCCCAAGACAGTATTGTGTGAAGTTTCGAGCTTGTGCAATCCGGTGTCCTGATGTGATTCAAATTAGAAATATAGCGTCTGTTCTTTGCGATATTTATGTGTAATTAGGAACATCATTACACGCATCTCTGCTAGAAAAATACGCACCATAATCAACCAAGTCCTCAACAGTAAGAAGTCCGACGTTTCAAAACCGTTTTTTTTTTTTAATTTTTATCAAGGGCGACTATTTGCACGTGGAGAGCAGCAGCTTCTTTTCTATCAACGGTGTGTCCTTTGCTTCACTCACGTTTTCTTCTTCAAGTGTCCTAGTCCGTTGAAACACGCCGAAGTTAAGTAGCTGTCGACCTATTAAGCCCGACCTATCAAAACGTCGGGCCACTAAATGTTAGGACTTGTTTTGTGAAGGTCTGTATTTCTCAACTTTTTGACCCGACCAGACAGAGTTCTATCAAGCGTGCTTACGATTAAAACATGCATCACTACTGAGATCTTTTTGCAGTAAGGCGTCGTGTATTGCATTATTTAGAAGAATATAATTTATTATCTCTCTCTCTCTGCACATTTCGTGCAATAGCCTTCAGATCTATAACGTGAGCATATAGTTAATTTTGGCATACCCCATGATCTGGTGTTTCACACTGCCAGACAGCGAACAAATAAGCACGTTCCGCAGACTCAACAGGTGGCGTATTCTCGAGTAGCGCCCTCGCGTGTTGGTCTGAAGCGGTTATGCGAACTTCATACAGTCAAATTTATTGATGACAATAACAAATATTTTCTTACTACCTGAAGACTTGACAACATAAATAAAGGGCCTATTACCATAAAGATGTACAACATATGTTAATGCACCTACATATTATATAAAATATGCTCTGCAAATCTTTTCCGGCGTTTTTATCCTGAGAGGCACGTGTATAAGTGATTTAGGAAAAACTTATGCTTTTTTTTTTCATTTTGAAGCTGATTTAAATAACTTGTGGTCCTGACGCATATTCAACTTCTTAAACATATAGAAGTTTTTGTCTTCGTTTATTTGATGAACAACAATTTCATGTGTCGGTGGGCTGGATGAAAACAAAGTAAATACACAGTGCCGCGTGGCAGAAGTATGATGATTGCGAACGCAGATCGTTAGAAAGTGACCAATTAATTAGCTTTAATGTCGAGTAGGCTATGAAAGACCACTTTGTTGTATTGAACAACAAATCACCAATTAGCAAGGGTGATACTTATTTACAAATTAGATTGATCGGCTTCTTGTCAAGAACAAACTCAAACGCCAAGCTATGTCGAAAAGGTACACTTCCATGCGTTCCATTTTAGGTCATATCCGAACTGAATACGAAGGTCACTCTTTTCTGGATTATTATTCGCCTGCATCACGGCGATTAGTGTAAACAATATTGGTCAGGAAAGCAAGCGTTGTGCTTGCCGCTCAGAGTTTCTATAAAAAGTAGACTGAAAAGATTTGTCCTAAAACTCTCCTGACACTTTGAAAATATTATTGCTTTAAGCTCGGTTGCGTCGTCATCATATATATCGTGAAACATATTTTATAATCTAGATATCAGTATATATATGGCGAGAACGTGCCCATTTTATGATTATATGCACTAGCTAATTTGTAAGTACAAGAGCACAGTAGGACTTGACTTTTAATATTGCGACGCAAAGCTTTCCTAATCACGGGCATTTTAGACGACCCACCTGCAGACTGATAACCTTTAGATTAAGGTAAAATATGTGCGACTGAGGTTAAAAGGAATAGGTGTTGAGTCATATATGTTAATCTAGCTTTTGATTTACTGCTTCATCGAAATTAAACAACTCAATTTATTTTTGGTACGTGAAAAAAAAAAGTGAATTCAACAAATGATAATGGCTATGTAGTTACTCGTTGCACTCTTGAAAAAGTGCCTATTGCCAAAGGAACGCGGAAAATATATTCTCAGTTTAGCGGTTCAAACGGGTTTCGAACCGGTTCAAACCGGTTTGAACCGTTATTTTCGCTCCCCGGAACTGAACCGGAACTGAACCGAAATCCGTGAACCCGAACCGGAACCGAACCGATAAAAATTTCGGTTCGACACTCTGTCCGGGACGACCGAGCTCCTGTCCCTAGGAGAGCTGTATAAATTAAGGATGAAAAGGTTTCGTTCCCCCTTTTTACTGGGAATCACTTCTACTAGGGTGTAATCCGCCTTGGATCCTTCTATTTCATGCTGAATCGCTGTGATATTTCTGTGAACTAGGGTTGCGGTGGGCAAATCCCGCTTCTTCACTACGTCTAATTGATGGTGTGTTTTATAGTTGGCTAGAGAAACAAGCCCCCTATTCTCCTGCAGCGCTATAATGTCGGGCTTCGCCTCGACATTTTGGATGTGCAGGTGCAGGTGGCCCTTCTTCTTTCCAAACCCCCTGCAGTTCCACTGCCACACCCTAATTTGTTGTTCGCGTTGATTGTTGCGCGCCATCCTGAATTTCTAGTCTCTGACAAATAAGCTGCGTGAGCTCATCGAATCTTCCGTTCATGTACACAAATAAGTGCTCCATTTTAGTCTCTAGGGCGGTGATCCTAACGTCTTGAGCGTCCATGCGTTCCTTCAGCTGCGTTAAGAGTTCTGATCTAGCCGTCAAAGTGGGCCTGCCCTCCTCCAAGGGAACTTGCCTCCTCTGCGGCTCGCTCCGCTCAACCTCCTCCTTGTTTTCGGAAGGGGCTTGCCTTTTTAGCGTATTCACCGTTTCGGTGTCCATCGCGTTCTGAGTTCTACCCTTGGCGCCACCCTGCGTCCCCATCGTGGGGGCTGCGGCCTCTATCGCTTTTAGTGCTACCGCTGGCGAGTCTGCCACAAGTTTCTCGCTCGCTTTTTTCTTTTGCGTGTTGTGTACCTTAATCTGGGACTGCAGATCCAGTATGGTATTAGACATCTCCCTCACCTGTTTACGAAGGGCTTCCATTTCCTCGTCTTGTTTCCATCTGACCGACTTGCGTCGGACCGATGGGCTCCTCCCCCGGCTGGAACTCCTTTTCCTCCAGGGGTCGCCCGTCCCTGCTGAGGACCGTTCATGATCCTCTACCAGGGGTGGGAAGGAGGAAGAACGACTTCTGTACCCGTTCTCTCGCTGGTGCTTGTCCCGGGGTCTAGACCTGCCTCGATCTCTCGTTCGACCATCCGTCCCTTGCTTCTCTTTATCAAAGCTGCTCCCGTACTTGCGCTTGATGAAGCGATACTTGCAATTTCTGTTGCCGGTATTGTGGCCCCCGGTGCATATGATGCATTTGGGGGTGCATGTAGGCTGCGCCTCTTCCGGCATGGGTGGATGCTCATCACCACAACGGCGACATAGGTTCCGGCGAGGTAACGGGCACACATCTGTCCGATGCCCCGTCTTCCGGCAGTTATAACATGCCTCCACACGGTCGTGAAAGGGAAAAAGTCAAAGGTCACTCACCAAGTACCGGATCCACCTTGGTAGCTCCCTTTCTGCTATCGTGACGATCATGTGTCTTGACTTGCCCAGTCGGCGTCCGCCGACCACGTTGAGGTTGGGGTTGCGTTTCCGGAACTCGTCAAAAATTTCCGCGTCCGTTTCGTAGCTGTATGCATTGAAGACGATTCCTCTCCTTGAGTCGTCTGGCGGTGGAACGTACGCATTCATCTCGTACGTGTTCTCTCCGACGCTGAGGCTCTTCAGCGCTGCATAGGTTCGGGCTCGCGCCTCGTCCGGCGTGCTTATGGTGAATGTATTGTTCTCCGGGTGGATTCGCAGGTGGTCGTTTTCGATCGCCACCGGTTCCGCAATTTTCTGTACAGTGCAAACCGCGTGCAGTATCTGAGCCACGCCAAAGTCTGTGAGTTTGACTGGGCATCGAGGACGGTACACAATCTTATACTCCCCGTCCGGCAGCCGTGGAATGGGTCCCTTTCTCGCCTTGGGCGGCGGGCGGGGCTTCGCTTTGCTTGCGTTGATGAATAACGTACTCTTCTTTGTTACGTCAGCCCCCACAATGGCGGCTGGCTGCGTCGCTGGTGGGGAGGAAGGTGGCGGCAATAGCGTCCCTTTATCACTCTTCGGCTTGCGTCCGAATTTCTTCTGCAGGGAAAGCATGTTCCAACTCCCGTCGAGGAGTTCGGCTTCGGTTACGGTGGTTCCCTCGACCGCATAGGCTGCTCTGGGACCGGAGAGATCCATGTCGACCGGCGAGGCGTCGGCTTCAAGCATAGCCATGGGCGGGAAGGCCGGCGGCGGTGCCGGCTGCGCCGTGTCCGCACTGAGGCTGACCAGGCTTAGCTACGACAGCAGCGCGGTGCGGTCAAAAAAGGGACGTAAAATGCCTAACATTTGCTTGCCTGAGCCAAAAATGTTATCCGCGGGTGCCGCCTGACTTCGCGGATCTGTCGGTGCCAGGTTTAGAATTGTGACGTAGAAGGAACCGCCGAAATATTCGAAGAACTGCGGAGCTCATCGGGGGCATGTCAGAACATGCCCCCCGATGAGCCTCACATTCGCTGATCCGGTTTAGAGATTGTCAAAAACTCACACACAGATCCGCCAAGTTTGCAGGCATTAGACTTTGAGGAAGATTTCTGGGAACCGTTTTCCAGATGTTTTCAGCAACATATAAAAAGTTTTGAAGTGTAAAAGTCCTCTTTATAAAAGATCGTGAAAGCTCACTCTCCTTAGGTTAGAACATAAATATATAAGTAAAACTACATTCCATGCCCTGACTTTGGCTTTCTTAGTAAGGTGTAAGCCACGTAATGTTAGCAGTTAAGAGCGAGGGTCTAAATTGACGTCGCAAGATAAGGTTTTTTTTTTTATAACCTGTAGCCATTGTTTTATATTCAGTGATCAATCTAAACATAAGCTGATGTCTAAAAATTCACACAATGACTGACCTTTTTTATTTCAGCTTTCTAGTTTGTAAAGTACAGGAAGCAATTCAGGAATCGACGATGTACAGCACCGGAAAATTCCTGACAATTTTATTTGGTAAGCGTAGACATTAAACTAAAAGTGTCACACTGATTACCTTGTAGGTTAGGACCCACCCTGGCGTGCATCTTATTCTTATTTACAGGAGACCGCTCATACAGAGAATGTTTTTCCCTGTGTAGTGCTACGCCCGTGTTTTATTGGGTCAAATGGGAGTTTTCCACGTAACCAAATTTCCGTTAAAACTACTTCAATAATATTTTTGTTTCAGTAGTACGAGAATAATAAAAGATGCGCTTAGAACTGCAACATATATGAATGGAAGTTTAAAGTCAGTCTTATATTTCCTCATAACCCCGGTATTCAAAATCAGTAAAAAAAAACAAGAAAAAAAACAAAAACGTTAACTGCCAATTTAAGAACAACGCCTCCGCTCAAACGGGGCATGGAACGATTGTATCATATTCAGTTTATACTGCAGTGAATGACTAGATAAACGTTCAAAATATCAAGAAGGCGTTTTTTTTTTTAAGTTCTAGCAGTTGCAGAATAAATGAAGGAAATAAAAGAGTTCATTTCCCACTCTCCCAGCCGATCAAGCGGCAAGAGAGACCGGGTTCGTGGTGCATGCTCCCAATATCTACTATATTGAAAGAAAATAAACACGAGATAATTTAATGATAAAAGAGATTCAGAGTCTAAAAAGGGTCCGAAAGTCGCCTACCCTGAGCTCAAGCTTCTTGCACAATCCTCTCAGCGGAAAGCACCGAAATTAACTCGTCCTCGTCCTGCAATCCAAGAGATTAGGGTTCCCAATTAAGAAAAAAAAAATGCTTTGCTCCAGATAATATTAGGGCTAGCAGTATTTGTAATCGCACCAATGGAGTTGGTGATTGTGCAAGTGCCTTCAGTGCTGTAAAGTATTTGGATCCAGTTCAGGTGCTGAAATTTATGGCGCGACATTGAATAGGATATGTTTATGTCAATTACAAAGAGACAAAGAAGCTATTGAATCAGTATTGTGCGGCCTGTTATTTTTAGTTACTCCTAAGTGAGTCTGCTTATGTGGAGTGCGTAAAGGCCCGTTCACACTCTTGCGACCGAGCGCGACCGAGTACGACTGAGAGAGACGAGTTCTCTTAAAACTTGCTAAATGTTTTTAAAACGATGGAACAAACTGGCATTGTGGCGCCATCTATGCGGTGACCCTGGAACTGCATTTCACAAGAGCGAAGGTTTTGCGGAATTTCCGAGGTCAAATGTGCGTAATACCCATAGAAAGGCTCGTTTATAACATTGACAAAAGTTTTTCGAGCCAAGAAAGAAAGGATAATGCGCGAGAAATAAAAAAAAATATGCCGGACCGCCGAGTTTACACTGCTTCCCAATAGATGGCACCAGTGTGTTTTCTGGTTTAAGAAGTTGTAAGGAACCTAGGTTTAAGAGGTCGCAAGAGTGTGAACGGGCCTTAAAGCTAATACCTTGCATGACCCCGTGTAAGAAACTTACGAAAAATGTGTGGAATACTCTTTGGATAGGTGTCCTCGGCTGTTTTGCTGCTGTTGTTAGCTAAGTCTGAACTATATTACAACAATGGCGTGCCATTTTAATGTTTCTCTATCTATTGCAGTTGTCGTCATCGCTATTAACGACGTGGCTGGAGTCAATAAAAGAAATCGACGGAGTGAGTGAGTGAGTTTATTGAGCAAAAGAAAAAGGGGGTAATGCGGAACGAGAGGTTAGTCTCCCAATAGCGGGGTCAGCTTTCTCGTTCCGCTTGGGGAAAGGGAAACCAAGAGTGGTTAAGAGGAGGAGGATGGCTGACGCCCGTCAGTACAGCCTAGAGGCGTGTTGAGAGGCCAGTCTCTTGGAGGAAAAGAAGGATGACTTTGAATGTTTGCACCCTTAGTGCTTGTGGTCCTGCGGGAAAAAGAAGACTTCGGGTATCCTGGTTACTGCCGTTCGCAATAGATTTTTTCAGGACGTTTCTTGAATTGGCGTTTTGTGGGCATGTCCAAAAGATGTGGTCCAGATCTTCTCTTTCATCACATGCGGGACACTTTGGGCTAGACGCTTGTCTCATGAGATTTAGACGAGAGTAGGTGTTTGCACAGTTGACTCGTAGTCTATGTAGCAACGATTGTTGCGGTCTCGGGAATTTGTTTTTAGGAATGGTTGGAGGAGGTATAGTCCAGAAGCCGTTCCTGGGTGGGGGTGATTAGTTTGTGCTTCATTATGGATTATGATTCGATAGTTGTTGTGTGGATGTATTTCTATTACTTGGGATACATTATTGTGGGCTTCATTTGCAAGGGCATCTGCTCTTTCATTTCCATGTATACCCACATGCGAAGGGATCCACTGAAAGTAGATGATTGATCCTTCTTTAGCCATGTGGTGTACGAGTTGAACAATGGATCTTGCCAAAGGAGTTCCCCTTCTCAAGTTTTGGAGCTGTCGTAAGGCTCCTTTCGAGTCCGTGAAAATAGCCACTTTTTCATTTTCCGAAAGTGTTATTAACTCGGAGAGCGCGAGCCATATCGCAGCAAGTTCTGCTGTGGTCGTGTCGGTGCAGTAGCTCAATTTGGCTGTAGAAGATTGATTAGATTCTGGTATGATGTAAGCAGCTGTGGTGGATAAGTCTTTCCTGCTTCCATCGGTATATATGTGCTTCATGTTGCAATAGGACTGGATGACGTCATTTGCGATGTCGCGTACCACGATATCGGCGACGTGGCCTCGTCGTGCACGGGAGGTCCATGATCTCTGTTGTTATGTGGAGGTGATCGTTCTGCCGGTGTGGAGGGGGGAGGGGAGGGATGTTCTCTGGGTAGCCGACGTGGTCAATGAAGCGTTTCATGGTCTTACCGAGGTAGGAGTGATGGCGTAGTAGTATGCTGTCAATGAGTGTCTCGTATGATGGTACTCTGAGCAATCTGGCTGCGTGAAGTAGTGTTCTCTCTTGTGATTGTGTTTTTAGTGGTGTGTCACCTGCCTCGACTATAGTGGAGACGTTATGTGACGAGCGTGGCAGTCCGAGACAAATCCTGAGTGCGTTGCGGTGAAATGTCTCGAGAGTTTTCCATTGAGAATCCAGAATCTCCAGCAGGGGGAGGGAATATAATATTCGGTTGACGATAAGGCCGCGATACAGTGTAAGCATGACTTGTTGACTGGCACCCCAGTTACGGCCTCCTATTCTTCGGATAGCGCCAAGTAATTTGCGGGCCTCATTTAGTGTATGTTTGACGGCTGGGCGCCAATTTCCTCGGTCGTCAATGATTGCACCAAGATATCGCACCTCAGTGCTTCTGCGAATCCGTTTGCCATCTACGCGTAGCGAGCTGAATTTTCCTTTAAGTCTAGCTCTTGGCCGATAGCTCAACGCCGATGTCTTTGTTACTGACAGCGTGAGACCCGCGTGGTAGAGAAATGCGGCTGTTGTGTTCAAGGACTGTTGGAGTTTGGCTTGTATTGTAGTTGAGATGCGCGTTGGCCCCGTACACCAGAGCGCAACATCGTCTGCATAGATAGCGCAGTTGACTGCGATTGTGTCACCTTTAGGAAGCGCAGAAGGTAGGCCGGCCATCACGATGTTAAATAGCAAGGGACTTAAGACGCTTCCCTGTGGTACTTTCTGGGAAGAGTCGCGGGGCGAACTTGTATGCCCAGCTATTTTTACATGGAAGGTTCTTCGTTGTAAAAACGACGCAATAAACTTGTACGTTCTCCCTCTGACACCGATATGACGAAGGCGCTCCATAATCACGTTGTGTGGAAGTGCATCAAATGCTCGGTGAATGTCTAGAAAGACAGCATGAAGAACGTGTTTTTGTGCCTTGGCTTGCTCTAGTGATGATGTCAGATTTCCAATCGAGTCCGCTGTTGAGCAGCCCGCGCGAAACCCTGATAGCTGTGGTGGTAGCGCTTGTGCGTCTTCAAGTTGCCAGCTGAGCCGTCGGTGGATCATCCGCTCTAAAAGCTTGCAGACACAGGAGGTTAAGGAGATTGGACGGTAAGATGTTATGATGGCTTTCGACTTGACTGCTTTTGGGACGGCTACTACAGTAGAATGTAGCCAGGAGGAAGGAAGTTCGCCGGATCGCCAAATCACGTTGAGGTACTCTAGAAGAAGGGGTCTATCCGTAGCGTCAATGTTTTTGAGGGCTTGGTTTGTAATGCCGTCGGCTCCTGGGGCACCCTTGCGGCCACAGCGAGTCAGGGCATAGTCTAGCTCTGGGTTTGTGAAGTCGTCGTTTATAGTGGCTAGGGTGAAATTTGGTACTGGAGGCTTCGGCGCTGGAGGTTTTCCTTGCGGTGGAGATACAGGCCTTGAGAATTCGTCAGCGAATTTTTCTGCGAGGTTAGCCATAGTAAGGTTGTCTTTTATCGCTATCTCAGCAAAAGGATATGCTTGAGATACAGGCTCAAGTAAGCATCTCACAGTGGTCCAAGGTAGCCTCGACCCCGAATCAGTTTTAAGCGATTCGCTTCGAAGTTGCCATTGTTGTCTGCCTAGGCGTCTGGTATGACGACGTAGTTTTGCGTCTATTCGCCTTGATTTTGTCCAGTCGGCGGGGGCATTTGTGCGTCTCGCAATCCGCTGAGCTCGTCGAGAGGCAGCGCGGATTTCGAGATATATAAGGTCAGGAACTGGGTTGTTCGCGGGTAGGGTGACTGTTTTGGTGGCTTTAGAGATAGCTACACATATTGCATCTTCCAGTGGGATGCTACCCGTGCCAGTGCTTTTAAAGAGTTTTGCTAGTATTTGTCGATACATATCCCAATTCGTTACTGTATGTACACGGTGTTTTGGTGCGAGGCCGTAGCGGGGAGTGAGGTGAATTGGAATATGATCTGAGCCCCACGTGTCGGGCTCGAGACTCCAGACTATCTCTATTTCAGGCGATACCAAAGTGAGGTCTAGGACGCTTGCTTTTTCAAGGTTGGGCCGTACTAGTGTATACGGTCTCCGGTGTTTATGCAGCGGAGGTTCAAATCAGCGATGATGTCCAAAAGTATGGTGCCTCGTCGCGTAGTGCTGTCGCTTCCCCATGCTGGATGGTTTGCGTTGAAGTCGCCACACCAGATGATGGGTCCAGAACAGCGTGCACGAATTTTCCGGATTGCGTTAGGATTCCAAGGTGTATTTGGTCGAACATAGGTGGATATGACAGTAACTTCCTGCTTGGCTATTCGTATGATTGCCGCGACGTGTTCGTCATATGTAGAGTTGAAGTCTTTCAGAGGTATTTCTTTTTGACAGATTGATTTTTTTATGAATAAGGATGCACGAGATTTTCCATCGGGGTGAATTGTATCACTGTGGTACTGGACATATGGGGAAAATCGGTGAGGCCCTTTAGGTAAGTAAGTCTTTTGTAGTGCGAGAACATCTGTTTGCAGTGTAAGGAGGCGGCGCCGAAGTTCAGGTAGGCGAGGACGAAGGCTATTTACATTCCATTGTAGTATAGTTGGCAAAGGTTTTATGCTCTTGGCCTTTTTCGTTGATTGTCGTTTAGCTATTGGAGCAGAAAAGTGAAAGCACTGGGCTTCGTGGAGGCGTTATAGACCTTTTAGTGCGAGTATGGCGTGCTTGAGAATAGTTCAGAACGGCATTGAAATAATGGACTCTAAATAAAGGACTGCTGTGATCACTTGGTGGAGCGTTGATGATGGTGGTATTGTGTCCAATATTTTTCGAAGGACGGAGAAAATTAACGGCACTATCACTTTAATCAGTGAGGTAGGTGCTCTTCCATTCGCCTGGTTGGGAGTCGACGCATGTGTATGAGGAGACGAGTGTGAGATAATGTCTTTGATGTGTTGTTTTTCCCAAAAGGATGGTTTCTGAGAAAACGGCCTATTGCAAGGGAAGCCAATGTGATTGAAGCAGAAGCGGCCGGAAGATCTGAAATGTTCTCTAACATAAATGAGGCACAAGTCGTCGACTTTGTGGGCAGAGATGAAGGCGATAATTCAGCCGTTGTCTTTGGTGCCGAGAAAAGCGGGGTTTAAACGTGGCGCTGTCAATGCCACAAAAAATCTTTGAACCCGCAGATATCAAATGATCATGGCCGTTTCTTATTTGGGCATTATTTAGTCAAGATGAATAAGAAAAAACGTTCAACTATTATCGCCTTTAATATTTGACATTATATACTTATAGTATAAATACCTTTTTGAATATCTTTCAACTAGTGAAACTTTCCGTGTGCTACGATGACGCGCATTGTGTGTAGGCATGAAAATAAGAAAATACCTTATCATGTACGGAGTTTCAGTTACTAATAAATAACAAGTTAAACAAGGATAGAAAGATGTTCTGCACTTTCTAATACCTTAAAGGGATGCTGAACCGAAAATCTGGATTGTATCTATTGGTTGTCATAGCAGTTATATCACCTCACTTATATATAAATGCCGTTTATTGAAGCGAAATTTCCGTCTAAACCTTATGTTACATGAGTGATGACGACTTGATAGTTGGAGAGGTCTGAAAGGCCTCTCCAACCTCTCCAACCTCTGTATTCCAGACGCCATTTCACAACAAGCTTCGTTCTCTTAGGCAGAAATATTTTCATATGGCTCTTGGTTGTGATGTTGGTGGTTAGGCTCTAATTTGCTATGGATTGTGTTCATATCTCGGCGGCTTCATTGAAACAAGCTTGTGTTTCCAGCTATATTGAAAGATAATAAAAAAAAAAAAAAAACGCATCTCCACGTGGTGAATGATGTTGATTGGGGCGAAGCTCTGGTGGTGCTTGTCTGCGTAGACGCTGAGCCGCAGCATGCCGAGCCTTTCGTTCGTTTCCATCCATGTCACGCTGCGGTCAAATGCTCAAATGCGTATATAACCACCTTCCATACCACACATTCTCTTTTTGACATGGATGAAAACGAACGAAAGGCTCGGCATGCTGCGGCTCACCGTCTACGCAGACAAGCACCACCAGAGCTTCGCCCCAATCAACATTATTCACCACGTGGAGATGAGTTTTTTTTTTTTGCCCTACACGAGCATGGGAGCACGTGCTCACGTGCTCGTGAGCACGTGAGCTCGCGAGCAGGAGCACGAGCCCCCGACGCCGGACATCGGACGGACATACGGACATGGCTAGCCCCTAAGGAGCTTCGCCCCTAAAAATGAAATCCGTTTACAATTCCCTGTAAGGCCGGATTAGAGCGCAGCTCTTGAGGAGGAGTATGGAATCGTACTGAGGGATAGGTGACTCCTTGAGGTCACGTGACCTCAGGGGAGGTCGTGTGACGTCAGAGGGGTCACGTGACCTCGGGGGGAGGGGGTCACGCCCGAGGTCACGCGACCTCAAGGGGGGGTTACGTGACCTCGGGGGGGGGGGGGGGGGGGTCACGTGACCTTGGGGAGGATCACGTGACCTCGCGGTTACGCCGACGGCGACGCCGCTCAAGCCGGAAACGGGCCCCTAAGAGCTGCGCTCTAAAACCTCATTACTGTGTAATTGTGTGCATAAACTCTACAAAAAATGTCCTTTTCATGATAGGACTTTTCACAGTGCTTGCATTTTGGATACGTGGAAAATTAAAGTTGCATCTAGTCTAGCCACGGAGGACACGGCGGGGCTGAACGCGCGGCGCGAGGAATCAGATGGTGTTCGTTCGACGGGTATCCGAAAGGCTGCATTATTCGGCGGCCACCGTGCCCGCGGCTGACAGTGTCGCCGGCGGCCAAACGGTGAAACTGTGTGAGAGCGAAAAAAAAAAAAAAATCTCGTTGCCATGACACCCCGGTACACCGTGGTCTTTTTGCACGAGCGACAACCTCGCTGGAGCTCTGCGCGTGTGGAGCATGAGGCGGCACGAGCCGTCTTTGCCGTGCCCACGGGTCGACGAGTCATCTGCCGGCGCCGCTTGAAACCATAGTGAGAAAGAGAAAGAGAGAGGGAGTGAAAAGCGAACTTTATCCAAATACTTTACTAGGGGGAATACATTCCACTCCTCTCAAATACAATAGCCTCGGCAAGGACAGGTTTTCTGGGCTTGGCGAGAGCCATCTATCGTCGGGGAGGTCTCGGCTATCGATGATATTCATGTTCTACATACCAAATTCATTGAAACACGCAGACGGCAGCGCTTGTACCGCCTGTGTGTTTCTTCTCCTTCGTCCGTGTTTGTTTGCGCTGTTTTTACATTATGATCAACTTTCACCCCGATGATGCTTCAAACTTCGGATTCGCTTGAGTTGGGTGTCTCCCTGTGGCATCACGGCGTGAGAGCCGTGACACAGTGTGCCCGAAGGGCGTCTGCGCGACTCATTCCATTCTTCACAGATATGGGCTGGAAAAAAATGGTATCGGTACAATCTTTCCGATTTCAGGCCAATATCGGCGCAATAATGTGTGCTGTCTGGGTTCTATATTTCTACGTCTTCGTTCATCTTTTGCGAGCGGAGACGATTTCTGAATTGAAGTGGAACTGATAAAACCGATGCACGGCGCGACACGTAAATTTCGGCTCGGGTCGGTTCGATGGGAGTTGTAAAAACTATTCCGTAGCACTTCCTCATCAAAACGCGACTTCCTGCGGCGATTAACTGTACTTCATGTTTCTACCGCCGTACATCAGCAACGTTTTCACCAGAGCAATAAACATGAACAGCTATGAAATCATGGGTGCTCCGAGTGCATCACCATTACGCCCCTTTCACACCGTGCGAATAAGGGGCGTAAAATTTGCCCATACATCCTTTTTACACGATTTCAGACACCATCGCTACAAGTGAGGCGTAAAAAGGACGTGTAAGGGGTGTAAATCATCAGCACACCCTTTTCACACCCACCGATATTCAGAAATCGTGAAAAAAAAAAAAGGATATAAGAAGCAACCTGTTCCTAACTACACCTTTCTTACACCACTTTTATGCGATTTTGGGGTGTTACAGTGTTTAGTGTGTACGGGGTAGTGTTGGGTCCCGAGCGGCTCGCGTGAGGCGTGTGGTGTAGATCGCGATAGGTGTTGATATCGGTGTATCATTCCGTTCAGCACTAAATGCTCCTGAAAAAAACGTTTTTTTTTAACAGCCTATTTGGGACACGCGTGACAAAAAAATAAATTTTACGCGAGAAAAGAAATTTAGAGCAATGGAGATTGATTTGAAATTCAGCGCTCAAAGTCCATGGCGTCACAGAATGGTCATTTGCTCTTTCGACCTCAACGTGAAGGCGAAGCCACTGCACCTTTCCTCCACCACCTCCACGCGCCCAAAATGCCGAGAGAGAATAACAAGTGGAAAGAAGGTGACTACCCACTAAATCCAATATCATCTAGAACGCAAGGCCATCATCACTAATAGATCCCTTCAGCGCCCCCTAGGTAGCCCGGATGAGCACCATCGTCTACTACATCGTCTGCGACGTCGTCTATTCCATCGCCTGCTTCAGTGGTTTTTGTAGTAGATAATGAAACAGATTCTCACGCCGAGTGTCTGTTGCTATAGCATAAGATGAAGTTAGACGTTCACGTGGAGCATTAATTGCATGAGTGAAAATGCCTTACTGCTGTGCGAAAGGCTGCGAAGCCCTTCGCTGGACGTTGGACGCTGGCACTGGACGCCATTTTCCAGGGCGCTGTTTATGGACCTTTGTCCGGAAGTGTTCTTTTTAGCCTCGACCGCAAGGAGCAAAAGTGAACAATAATCTCGAACCCAGACGCTCACGGAGAGGGGGGCTGCGTCGGCCTGCGCCGCTGCTTACTGCCGCGGGCTCCTTCGCCAACCTTCGCTGGTGTGCCGACTGCCGTTTCGCCGGCATCGGTCCTGTTTACCGCGATATCTGAGTATAGTGCCCGTAATGTGAGAGCCGTGTGTCCATACGCCACTTTGCCGCTGTTGGTTTCCATCTAGCCGAGCCAGAAAACATCTCGCGACGAGTTGACCGCGCCGCGAGTGACGAAGAGAAAGCAGACATGGCGACGGTTTGTGCGATTGCTTTGGTGGCTCCGGTGTTGCGTGTCTTCAACATCCTCGTGAGAAGATTCCCCTTTCCTTCGAAGTTATTGCAAGCACCACGACTGGCACGAAAGATGTCGAATCATCGTCTCAACTACAAATAAGCAGGCCTTCACGAGCAACGACGATGCCGATCAGGCGCTCGGCACAGTTGTGTCGTCAGATGTTCTACAACGCCGAGGTATTTTCATTTAACATTTGAAACGGCTTCAAGTGTGAGAAATTAATCTATTGCGCGGATTGTTAACGCCGAGGCGAGTGCCCTCCGTTGCAGTGCCGTTGTTGCGCAAAGTGCAGAGAAAACCGGGTGGCGATGGCGGCGGTGCTCTTTGATCGCTTTGATGTTGCGCCGTCGGGTTCATGGAGCCCGGAGTAAACGTACGTACGTGCGTCTGCTGGATCGGTGTTTTGGACTGCCTCAAAACTCTTTCTCACGCGCATTTTCCTTGTGAAGCTTAGTAGCTCATTACACCTCGTCGTCGACTGCGCTCATTTGACTACGACGGACGAGCCTGCGTGATGTGAATTTCACTGGCTAAGATCTTTGGTGTGCTGTAACGAGGGCTAATAAAATATCACCGCGAACTTCTGAACAAACGAGTCGAAGTGTCGTTTGTTATCATAATTGATCGCCTGTCAGAATATTAATCAGTAGCGTTCCTAGACTGCGCCCCCACTGGCACCCTGCTTCGTTGCCCGATAGTATGTGTCTCCTGGTACCTCGTAGAACTGGCAATTAATAGTTTCGAACCCAGACGCTCGCAGCATGTGTGTGTGTGTGTGGGGGGGGGGGGGGGGGGGACGCGTGCTAACCAGTCTTGTACACGTTACTAAAAAAAGTAATCGATTACAATTACTATTACTCTTGGCTAAAAGTATTCGATTATATTACTTGATTACTCGACAGCAAAAGTAATTAGACATTACTTTAAGAAGTAACCGTTACTTTTCCGATTACTTTATTGTGTGAAGACATATCTTTAGCGCTCGTAACAATCAACTACTTCCAACCTCGAAACCTTGCTTTTCACAA